CCCTGAGGCTGTAGTCAGAGCCCGCGACCTGGCTTTCGAGCATCCTTTTCACAGTCGGTCAACGAGAATCCCCCACGGCACTGGCGGTCGACGTCCAGCCGACCCGTCAGTCTCGGATTCAGAAGATGTGATTGGCTGAGCTTGTACAGTAGCAGCTGCGCTACTAACTCTAGCCTAGTGAGCGACAAGTCCCTGCATATGGGGGGCTGTGAAGATTTCTGCGTTTCTTCTGCTGTGCTTGGCAAGGAAATCTTTCTGCGATGAAGCCCCTCTATTCTCTCTAAACCATCTATAAAGTGAGGCTTGGTCAGATGTGTGTTTAAAGAGTAGTTACTAGAGCATATGTCGTTACACCGCAATCTATCTGTCAGATCTCCGCAGTAACTGTTTCTTTTTCTGCCGCGAGCTTGAGGATTCCAGCGCCCACGAGTAGATACACCAAGTGACTAGCGCAATCCGTGTGGCAAGAATCTTGCTGCAGGCGAACACGATGCTGATAAGCAAACGAATCTATTCCACAATAATCCACGTCGTTCGGGTCTTAGCTTCTGGCCATGGACCAGCGAGAGGGCAGGGCGAAGTCAGATGGACCCATAGTAAACACAGACACTTAACTTTCTCCAGACGCACAGTTGCTCCAGCGATCCGGGAAAGTGTGTCAGGAGCAAATCTTTTACTGCTGCTGCCCAACATTAGTCACTCATGGCGGCGACTTTTGTGGCAGCTGTTCCGGGCACCCGGATCATAACAAACGTGATATTATTGTCCAGTCCGACTAAAACCTTAAGATCAAATCTCAAGCATCCGTGTCCAATACTCGCTATTGAGTGATTCTTTTCAGAGTTACCCAGGAACGATCAAAGGTTGGGCCGTGGTAGGGCGAGGATCAAGTATTCAACAGCTGGTAGCGCTTGGTTGCTACCCTGTCTTGGCTGATACAATCTATGCACATACAAAGACTTGCAATGAAGGAATGTCGTTGTTGGGCGGGATGTTAACGCGACTGCTATGCGCAACTGGTAGTCTGCTAGGCGGAAATGTCTGCCGCAAGGTCCTCTCGTCACTTCAACATGCCAATCTTAATGCCTGAGCAAACCAAATGTACTTGTATGTCTTGATCCCCATTGACGCTATCCGCTATCTATGTTACAGTAGCAACTCCCATTACCCAAAACCAATGCTGTGAAAAAGCAGTATTCGAGGTGACCTCCGCAATGTGCCACTCAACCCATCAACCCCGAATTTCGCCATCATATGCCTTTTCTGGCATTTGGAATGGTTCCGCCTGCAGCAGAATTGTGCCTCACTAAACCAACTATGATACAATGAAAAAAGGACCAGAGCCGACTCAAGGCTTGGTGCGGTGGATGAACGGATGACGCAGGGCCTCGTAAGGAGTGATGCGCTTCTCCGGATTGAGGGAAAGGCACTTATCCAAGAAATCATGAAAGAGGTTGACTTCCTTGAGTTCAGCATCTGTCAGCCCCTTGGAGCTTCCAATGAGGCGAGACTTGAGGTCTCTGGTTGGCTTCGTGAAATTGACCATGCGAATGACATCCTTTCCAAAAATTAGCCAGGATCGACAAAAGAGTTCTTGGTGCTGACCTTGTTTGTGATCTTGTCCGTTTCCACACTCCTAAAGAGGTTGAGATTCTCGTCAAAGTGCTCGTAGACATAGTCCGCCCAGCCTTTTTTGAGCAACTTGGCGCTCATCTTGCCACGGCACTCCTGGATGGAGCGAAGCATCTGGTTGTTGTCACGTCCGGTAAAGAGGATTTTGCCTGTGTAGAGCTCGAAGAGGGTGCAGCCAATGGCCCAAGTATCGATTCCATAGTCGTGTGGGATCCCGAGCATAATTTCAGGCGCGCGATAGAAGCGACTCACCAGTAGGCCGGCAGGCACTTCGCACTCGGAAATGTCCATGGCGGAGCCAAGATCGCAAATTTTGAGAACATTGCGTGTGTCGTTGACCAGCATGTTGTCGGGCTTGATGTCAGCGTGGACAACGTTGCACTTGCGCAACAGACTCAAAGCAACAAACATCTGCTGCGCATAAGAGCGGACAGCCTTGAGGTTGAGCCCGACGTCACGACCAAATTTCTTGAGCACCTCTCGAAGATTGACGCTCAAGTGCTCAAATACCATGCACAAGTGATGTTTGTGATCGAACCAGCGCAGCATGCGGATGCAGTGGCGCTTGTCGTCCGGATCGTGGTCTGCCAGCTTCTCCAGCGTCTCGATCTCCTTGACTCCGGCCTTCCTCAAGACTTCGTCATTGCGAATTATTTTGATGGCAACGAGGGTATTGGTCTGGACATCTCTCGCGCGCACGACTTCGGAAAACACACCCTTGCCAAGTCTGGCCTGGACTTCGTAGCGGTCGTCGAGCAGCTCATTGAGAATCACCTTGTAGTAGCCTTGGTGGTCGTCCCAGACATCAAGCATACTGCTGTCCAGTTTCTTTACCTGCGGTGCCTTGCCAGACTCGCTAGGATTGGCAATGGGCTTGGAGGTTGTCTCTTCAGCAAACATGTCGTCATCGTCGTCTTCGGCAAACATGTCGAACTCGTCTTTGGGCTTGGGCTTCGAAGTCTCCTGGGACTTGGGCTCGGCCTGCTGCTCATTTTCTTGAGCTTCTGCCTTTTGGTGGGCTTCGCGGATATGCTGCTGTTGTTCGACGCGAGCTCGATCCTCGTTCATGTCAGCAGTAGGGTCGTAGTCGGCCGCCGACGGCTCGTCCCTGTCGGTCGAATTATCTTCAATGCGTCTGCGATTTGCAAGGTCTTCGTCCTGTTGCACCTGGACAGCTGGCGGAGAGCCGGGGTCAGAGCCGTCGGGAGTGATGGGCGATGAGTCCATTGGAGAAACTGTAAAAGTCAGCACCCATGCCCGTCTGTTTCCTGCTTTGTACCGACCTGATCTCGCCGGACGGCTGTCAGAGCTCTCGTCTTTCGGAGTTGCTGGATTCGACTCATTTCCCAAATGGAGGGCTTGAACAAGCAGAGGCGTGGATTGTCCCTTGTACTTAGCTTTGATGGCCTCGCGCCGCTTGCGACGTTCTTCGATCAAGGCTGCTTCATCAACGGGCTGGACTTGAGCTGGAGCTTGGTCATTCGCTGGCTCCTCAGTCGGCCTGAGCTCTGTTAGCTGGATTCTGGCACACATCCAAGAGAGGCTCTTACCGGTCTGTCTCTGGTCGCATATCTTGCATTGGTACGTCTCGTCCCGCGGCACTGCGATAGTCTACTCTTGAAGGTGGCCTGTTGGTTCCTGGAAACTCGCGCGAGCGCCATTCTGCACCTTTTTCATGGTCGTGACGTCTACGGTCTCGTTTGTCATACGAATCATACCGGCCGTTGCGAAAGTCGGAGGAGGGCTGTCCGCCTCTCATGTGTGGACGGGGTGGCGGAGAGCGGCTTCGATGTCCCCGGTACCGACTGTGGTCGCGGTCGTCGTACCTGGGCGCAGGTCGCGAAGTGTCACCTCGATCGATGTCTGCGTAGGAGACGCGGTTTCGACGGTCTTGGTTGTATGGGCGCCTGTCTTCGTAGCGGACCTTGAAGCGGCGCGGGTCCTGGCGCTCACGGTCACTGTAAAAGTCGTCCTCTCGACGGCGCTTTTCTCCGCGCGGCGACCGGGCTTTATAAGGGGAGCGGGAGCGGTGACGCTGGGCGCCATTTTCATATGGGCCCCTGGGAGAAAGCGAAGCTGAGGCGCGGGGTCTGGATTGACGGTCAACGCTGACGCCCCTTGAGGATGGCATTGTCGAACTAGTTGCCTTGCCGACCTGTTGCTCGTGTATTTCTCCCTCCGATTCGGATCTTGAGCTCATGATGGGAGTGGGGAAACTGTGGGAAGGCGGTTGCAAGTGAGGCAGGTTAGCTTGCGTCTCCACTCTGAAAGCAGGCTTGACAGAAGTCGAACCAGCGATGATAGCCCTCTCCTTGCTCCTGAGCAACAGCCAAGGCGATCGCGATCGCGGCACAAGAGACGGAACGACGAGTGAGGGTGACTGCTCAAAAGCGCCACAGAAGCTCAGGTAGGTAAGGTACAAGTGGTGTGAAGGAGCAAAGGACTGCCGGAGGACGTTTGCTGAAGATGTGGAACGGCTACACAGCTCTTGCCCCAGGACGCGACCCAATGGAATGGCTGCGCGGTCGGAGCCTCAGATGCCGAAGTTCCGGTCATGGTCCGAGCGCCCGATGAAACATGGTGCAGACAGGCAAGCCCCGATTCGGCAGGATGAACAGCCAGCAACCATTCTGGTGGATTCATCATGTTGAACTTCAAAGCTGTTTTATCAGAAGTAATGCAAGAGCAAAGTACTAAGTGAAAAGGGTGAGCAAGGATCTGACAAGAAAAGCGCGCAGGGCGAAGATACTCATATTGCAGGTGAAGATGGAGTCCTTGGGCTGGTGTGTTTTCAAGCCAGCTGCCAGTAGTCAAGATTGGTTGACAAGTTCAAGTTGGGCGGTGTGAAAATTCGAAGGAAGAAAGTTGGTTGGAGGTCAAAGGGCAGAGGCAAACCTGGATCCACACGCCAACCCATTGCTAGTCCAAAGCAACAGCGGATACTCATGCAAAAGCCATGGAAAGAAGAGTCACAGCGACAGGTGCCCAGAATCCCTTCAACGAGCCGTCCGAGCATCCTGTATTCAATCTGTCAAACACAACGTGTCCCTCACCACTCTATTCACGACATGGACTACAACAATGATGTAGATGCTGGCGACCGCTGCCCCTCGAATTCGAGGCTCTGTTTGAGCTTGCAGAGCATCTATGCATCCCGTAAACAGCATATACTAATAAAACATCGAGCAGGGAAACAGCGCTCACCGGCAGATGGCCTACAACGCCCAAGTCCTTCACTTCAAAAGATCTCCACCACCACCCACCCCCGGCGTCCGGAACTCCTCTGGCGTGGCCTTCTATGCCAAAACGTCATCCAGAAAACAAAAAAGCAGCATTCCAATGTCGTTACAAGATGCAAAAAGATCTCACGACGCGGATGGGACTCGAACCCACAATCTTCGCCAATCACTCTTTGGGAGTTCTCCGTAGCCGGAAAGCGACGCCTTACCATTAGGCCACCGCGCCATTCTATGAGGAAAAACCCAAGCAACAATGTTCATGAACAAAGATTGTTCATCTGGAAAAGCAGCGACCTTGTCCATGTTTCGACGGAGCTCTTTGCAATTCCCCTCGCGCACACTGGAATACCATTCTCGTCCCGCGGAATAGCCAACTGACTTCAAGTTTGGATGGACAAGCAGTTGCGCGACATGAAGCTGTCTTCCGCATATTTTCGGACGCGCGGGGAAGGCCCCACCAAGGTAATGTATGCAAGCTAACCCGCATCCAAACTCCAGGGACGCGACGCGACCATGAAGACGTTGCATTGCGTGCCTCGTCTCAAAACCACGGAAAGATTGCAATACCTCCCACTTGATTGCTCTTTTTTCGAATTCAACAGTGGCTCTTCGGGAGCATTCGACCACAGCGCTTACGCTTGTGGGGACTTGGTACAGAGCCCTGTAGTAGCGACTAGGTCAAGACTTTGGCGCTCGCCCTGTCTTTTCCTGCTCTATCAATTCATGTAGACGACTGGCAAGTCCCGGGGGATGGAAAGGACCAATAGAGGACATCAGTTTTTTTTTCCTTCTATACCGATTGGTAGATAGGCAATTCTGAGACCGAAACCATGCAAGGCCTTTTTGACCCAGTATCTGCAGGAGAAGGTTAAGTTGTGTTTCAGGTGCGGGTATGACGCAGACGTGGGTACTCGATTATTCCCGGCCGTCTCACCAAAATCCGAAAAAGTACTCCATCAATGCAAGTCAGTGAAATCCTGGATAGTATCATCAAGTTGCAAGCATCTCATCACAGTACATGGGAACATCATATTGAAAGGACTAAAATTGAAAATGAAGAGAGAGTAAGACCATACCGAACCAACCCTGACAGCCTTCCAAACCCCGATTTGTGTACTCTCCTTAGGCAGAAGGAGCAACTGCTGAACCGCGATGACGAACGCTAGACTTGCCCAACGGACCATGGTGCCACTCCAGTCAACTCAACGACGCGCGGGTGTATTTATACAGTGGTATCGAAATCGAAGGGTACGCCAGCCAGCCAACCAACCAACCTGAGTCCCGCCACGACGCCGAATTACAAAAAGACACTGGAACTTTTCGTCCCCTAACACAAAAGCGAGTTATGAGGTGTGACTTGCCGAGACCAAGAGTCGGTCGAGTAAAGCAAGCTTGTGACACAGCCACAAAGTCCAGAGTCGATCACTGGCTGAGTTGACAGAATGAAGGTTTTTCGGTTCTCTTTTTTGTCGCAGATTGGCAAGGGCAGTAGTGAGCGACTCTCAAGCACAGGTGGAGGGCTTCAACAAGGCATTGTCATTGTGGCCATGAGTCTTGGTGAGATCCGTGTCACTGTGGCAAGGAGTGCGCATCAAAGGGGTTGGAGCAGGTGGATGCATTTCAGGGTCGGGCGTGTCCGGAGGGTGCGCAGGCATCTCAAAGGTGTTTGTGCGAGTAAGCTTGCGCTGGTCGCGCGTTTCGCTGTGGGCGGCGAGCGTCTTGAAACCGCCCTCGTTGCGGTCCTCTTGCTTTTGCGGCCACAGAATCTGGCGCGTCACGACGGCGCGGATCATCATCGAAAAAACAAAACACCAGGTTACAATCAGGCCACAGGTCAGAACGCAGCCGATGATTTGGAGCGCGCGGTTGTTGTCCAGGGCTTTGGCAACGGCAAATGTGGCCGTCGTCAGCGCCGTGTTGGGGAAGACAAACGAGTACCAAGTCATGGCAAAGTCCATGCGGCGGCGCGTCGCGGGAGCCCAGTGAGCGCCGACCGAGACGAAGAAGAACCACATGGCCAGGCCCCAGAGCCAGATGCCGATCCAATTGGCCAGGACACGGCTGATTTGGCCAGTAAGATGGCCGTCGCCCATGAAGTTGGCCGGGACGCATTTGGGAAGCATATTGCCCATGTTGACGATGCCAGAGACGGTAAAGCCCGAGGGACCGACACTGATGAACATACCGGGACGCAGCGACTCGCGGGGCAGTTTTTGCGTCATCAGACGATACATGAAGGCGGCGTAAATCATGGTCGATACCATGAAGCCGATGCCCTGGAGAATGGTACCACCAATGATGATGTCGAGAGCGCGGAGGCCTCCAGTCTTTTGGGCCAAATTGCCAGCGTGGGGACCGGTGATGAGGAGGGGGTAGGCGGGGAAGATCCAAATGGGCGTCATTTGGGAAATGGTAAAGGTCGTCGTCGACCACCTAAACAGTCAGCTTGATACTACAAACGAGCAGAGAAAAAGTGACTTACATGATGAGGTAGATGCCGACCGAAAAGACAATGGCAAGTGCGCAATAAAGCCAGAATAGTACGACCATGGCATCTTCCAGCCATTGACCGGCGGCTGGGACGCCATATTGGGAGATGTTGACCAAAATAGTACCAAAGCTGATGATGGAGGCAGGAATGAACAAATTCTCAGTCGGGTGCAAGAAGCTGGCTCGAAAGGTGTGGGGGTAGATATAGAAGCGAAGACTAATCATGACGATGTTGAAGATGAAGAGAAATATGTTCAGAATGAAAAAGATGCACCCAATGGCAAAAAGACCGGGGAAGCGAAGGGGGACTAGCGGCAGTCAGTTGAGTTACGATGAAGCTGGCGGATGCACGCAAATCACACAGCGCGCGCACCTGAATACAAGACATTTGCAATGCCGCCGGTGGCCATGGTCATGCAGAACCAAGTCCATGTAAAGTGTCTGATGCGTTCTCTGAAGCCGAGCTTCTGGTCAAAGTGGGCCTTTTCGTTGGCCTCTTGGCCGACTTGGAAACCGTTCTGGAGAATCATTGGCATGGCCGCATGAGAGCTGTGATGGGATCCAGGAGACTTGGAAATGGCCGGAGAGTTGTCATGATGGAGGGAGGAGCGAGAAGCCGAAGGGTTGGAGCGGAGGGTCATGTTGGCGCTCAGACGCGGATATGGTTGCAGAGGCTCGGCCATATCACGAATCAGACCTGCTCACAATCAAGTGGGGCGAATGGTGGAGCGAGCGAAGACCGACATGCGGACAGCAGCTGGCGGATCAAAGGCCGGCCGCCAGTCGGAGAAAAGAGAGAGAGAGAGAGAGAGAGAGAGAGAGAGAGAGGATAGAGCGGAAGGCGAAGGAGCAGGATGGATGAGGATGGGGAAGTGGAGATGAGGTGTGGAGAGGAGCTGGAGGACGTGCAAGAAGAAGCATGATGATTGTCAGTCAGTCATACGGGGAACCCAGTCGATTGTGACGCCACTGGGAATAAGACGATTGGAGCCGTCGCCGTCGACGATGGGTGAAGAGTTTTCGCGGACGAGCACACAGAGCCGCGTTCCCGGAAGAGGTCAAGCCAGGCACGCCCTGAAACTGCCGACCTCTTCTCCGCATCCCGCACCCGCCGCGGACCCCATCCGCAACCCTCGATACGATGCCCGCCGACATGGCCCATACAAATTGCCCCGTCTCCCCCAGCTTATTCCCGTCACTCTCTCCGTCATGGCTGGCTTCATTCAAAGGGGTGCCAAAAACATCCTTGCCAAGTCCCCCAGCGACGTCGTCTTCCTGTCTGCCCTGCGCACCCCCGTCACACGCGCCAAGAAGGGCGCCCTCAAAGATGCCTACGACCACGAACTGCTAGCCGCCGTACTATACTCTCGCCCGTCCGTCGTGGCCCGCCGTTGATCGCGCTGACACGACTCGTCGCACAGGTCCTCAAGGCAACCCTCGAGAAGCATCCCAATCTCGATCCCTCCAAGGTCCAAGATGTCCACGTCGGAACCGTTCTGGCCGAGCTGGGCGGCTCCAAGGCGGGACGCATGGCCCTCAACCACGTCGGCTACCCCACCACCACCGCTCTTCAGACCGTCAATCGCGCATGTAGCTCCGGTCTGGCAGCAATCACCGGTATAGCCCACAGCATCGCCGTCGGCCAAATCGACGTGGGAATTGGCGCTGGCATGGAGAGCATGACCCGCAACTACGGCTCGAGAGCAATTCCGACTCAATTGTGGTCCGAGCTTAGAGACAGCCCCGTCAAGGATGCCAGAGACTGCATTATGAACATGGGCCTTACCGCAGAAAACGTCGCCGAGAGGTATGGAGTAAATAGACAAGACCAAGATGCCTTTGCCGCCCACTCGCAGCAAAAGGCCGCCAGGGCTCAGAAATCGTCCCTATTTGACGCCGAAATCGTTCCCGTCAAGACGCGCACCATTCCAAACCCCGAAGTCCCGGAAGACACGCAAGAAATCATAGTCAGGGAAGATGACGGCATTAGGCCGACGACGACCGTCGAAAAACTGTCCACCATGAAGCCCGCATTCAAGCCCGACGGAACCTCGACAGCCGGCAACAGCTCCCAAGTCTCGGACGGTGCCGCAGCCGCTCTCATGATGCGCCGCAGCACTGCTCAGGCCCTGGGTCTGTCCGGCTCCATTATTGGGAAGTGGGCAGGCACTCAAGTCGTTGGCTGCGCTCCAGACGAAATGGGAATCGGTCCCGCCCTGGCCATTCCCAAGCTGCTCGACTACACGGGCGTGAAAACGGAAGAAATTGGCATCTGGGAAATCAACGAAGCCTTTGCCAGCCAGGCCTTGTACTGCATCCGCGAGCTAGGAATCCCCGAAGAAAAGGTCAATCCCAAGGGCGGTGCCATTGCACTAGGACACCCTCTAGGTGCCACGGGAGCGCGGCAGTTGGCGACGCTGCTGCCCGAGTTGGAGAGGCAAGGCCAGGAGTTTGGTGTCGTGAGCATGTGCATAGGCACAGGCATGGGCATGGCGAGCTTGATAGTGCGCGAGTAGGCCGTTGGTTGTTAGAAAGCAAGGCCTCGGAAATCAAATCATGTCAGACCACCAGAAATACTCCCTGTCTTCCCCGCTATTTCTTCCTCTTCCTCGCCCGCTCCTCCAGGACCTCGTCCAAAAAGGTCATTCTCTTCTTTTTGCGCTCTGGTGTTGTCCTCGATTGTGATGCCTTGCCCTTGATCTCGTCGTCAGATTCGTCCGAGTTGGCGTTTCGTGT